AACCTGCAACTCTAGACCAACAAATACCATCCCCACGACCAATAAGAACAACAAAAACGCCTAGCTATTTGTGTGAGTATCATGTTGGTATTTCTCTTCCCTCAAGACACCCCCAACATCGAACTCCGTGTTGGCCAAAACCACAGGTACCTTTTACCCATTAACTGACGTCTTGTCATATGCTAGATTATTACCTAAACATCGTGTTTTTACCACCGCCCTTTCAATTGAAAAGGAGCCAAGCACCTTTGTAGAAGCCGCTCGTAATCCAAAGTGGCAGGTTGCTATGCGAGAAGAACTTGATGCACTCAACGTCAATGGCACATGGTCCCTTGTAACATTACCGCCTGGAAAGAGCCTAATTGAATGCAAATGGGTCTACAAAATCAAACTTCGTGCAGATGGGACAGTTGAACGCTACAAGGCCAGATTAGTGGCAAAAGGATATAATCAAATTGAAGGGCTAGATTACCAGGAAACCTTTGCACCTGTAGCAAAGCTTGTAACTGTTCGCCTACTTCTTGTGTTAGCTTCAACCAAACAATGGCATCTTCATCAACTAGATGTCAACAATGCCTTCTTGCATGGGAACCTCGACGAAGACGTATATATGTCGCTACCTCCTGGCCTCGGACGAAAGGAGGATACTCGAGTTTGTAAACTCCACAAATCATTATATGGTCTCAAACAAGCTTCACGACAATGGTTCATTAAGCTTTCCACCGCTCTAAAGCAAGCCAATTTTATGCAATCAAAGGCAGACTATTCTTTGTTCGTCCGATCCCAGAATGGTAAATTCATCGCCCTTCTTATATATATGTAGATGATGTCATCATTGCAGTGAATGACTTACAAGAAATCGAACATGTCAAAATATCCTTGACGAACCAATTCAAATTAAAGGACCTTGGACAATTGAAATATTTCCTTGGTATTGAGGTTGCACGATCCTAGAAGAGTATTGTGCTTTCACAACGAAAGTATGCTCTTGAAATACTCGAGGATGTTGGGTACCTCGGTGCAAAACCAGCCACTTTCCCTATGGAACAAAACTTATCCCTTAGCAAATCAGATGGAGAATATGTCAGTGATCCATCATCATACCGAAGACTAGTTGGGAGATTAATCTACTTAACTATTACACGTCCTGACTTGACTTATGCAGTTCATGTCTTAAGTCAATTTATGGACAAACCACGAGTGCCACACTTAGAAGCAGCCCATCGTATT